TCACCAAGCTTTGACTTTAGGCCAAAAGCATTGGTGAGTAGGAGCCTGAGGAAGCGCTTCATTGGTGACCATGTAGGTCATGTTGTGGCGCAGATCCGTTTGATCTCTTCAGGTCTCCAGCCTCTGGTGGGGAGAGGTGGGAGTTTCTCCGTTTTTGGCCACCAGGCAGTGGAGTGGAGATGATGTCTGCCGGTGGTGGTGGCGGCGGTGGTGGCGGCGGCGGCGGCGGGGAAGAGGTTGAGCCCTGCTGCTGTTGTTGCTGTTGCTGTTTAGTCAGAACACTGGCAGAGGTGCTGTTTCTGCTACTGTGGCAGCGACTGCTGGTGCTGCCCTCAGGGCTGGTTTCAGAGAACCTCCATGGCCTGCAGTATAGGGGTCTTGGCCAGAAGTTGGGCGCTGTAACTGTGGAGAATGAAGTGGCATCGATGGTCACTCTGGCGGAAGCACGCCCACTTTCTGACAGCCATACACTGCAGGTGTGGACAGGAATAGAGGCACCCAGAAACTCACTCCTGGTTTTGATAAATTGCCTGAAGTGGCTCTCAGTGCTATCTGTGGCGATATTGCCCACGTACACTACGGCACGCTTGTTCTTGGGTGGTTCTGAGGAGACAAGCTTCCATGAGTCATCCTCGATAACATGGAAGATTGGCTTGCCATTGGACTCTGTCACATCTGTCTGAGACTTGGACTCTGTCACATCTGTCTTGGGCTGTGACTCAGAACACTCTGCCTTTGCCAAGCCACCGCTTCCCTGGGCCTGGGGGCCGTGGGGCTTTCGATCCGCGCTTGTGACGCCAGTACGTGATACGGTGCTGCTGGGTTCCATGTGAGCTGCAGCTTGCTTGGCGCTGCGTTTGCTGGCACTGGTACTACCGGTACTACTTTGCGTACGATGTACGTCTGCTTGAACTGGTGAGCTGTTTCTCGTCGTCTTCGACTGCATCCAGGCAATGGCGGAGTTTTTTGAAACAACTAACTCTTCCTTCAAATCTTTTACTTCCGCTGCCAGCTCACCAATGTTGCGTTTCATCCGCGCTTCGCGATCAGCAGACTCGGTCGCGAACTTTGCCAGCGTTTGCATCACTGCAAGGAGACCCTGCTCAATCCCCGGGAGGGTGCAAAGCAGCTTCGTCACGGCCTCAGCAGAGAGCTCGCCCATGGCGAAGGGTTCCTGCCTGGCCCTACCTAACTATCTAGACTATCCTACACTATTTCTACTACTACTACTACCCACCTAGCTATCTCCAGTCCGGCCTGATGCCGGCTGGGATGTCCAAAAAAACGAAAAGCTACGAGCTTGAAAAACGCGTGCCACACTCGTAGCTGCAAAAAAAAAGACATGAAGCTAGTCACAGACTGCTGCAGGCCTTCGTCCTAGTTAGTTATTTGGATTCCATATTCCATAAACTCTTCCATTCCCGACGATCTTGCGCCAACTGGCGTAGTTTGGCCAAGTCGGTTGTCGACTTCATTAGAATTCCTTCGACTTCAAGCTCTTTCCGAATGGTAGTCGACAGTGTGGTTGCTGGTCTTCCCCTCCGAATAGCAGTTTGTAGGCTGACGTAAAGCTGCATTGCTTTTTGAGGTGGTGTGTCAGGATCCATGCGGAGTACATGGCCAAGCCTGGCCATTCGACGGCTTTTCACGGTTGCCGAGAGGGGCGAACTGCTGCATTGCCGATAGAGCTCATCATGCGAGATGGTGTTGGGATACACTATCCTAAGTAGATTCCGCAGCTGCCTTCTGTGGAACACATCCAGTTTCTGCGATTCAGGTTCGGTGAACCCCCCCCCCTCCCCCCGTGCAGCAATTGTACAGAATGGTTGGCAGCACGAAGGCGTTTTACAAGATGGTCCACCATCACCTGTTGTCCAGCAACTGGATGTAAGCAACCGACGCCTTGTAAACCTGCTACATGAACTTGCTGAACTACAGTCTCTCATGTACATGTACATGTACTCTCTCTCTTTCCCAATCTACCCCCCCCCCCACCCCCCCCCCCCCACAAGCTCCCCCTGTTCTTTTTTCTTTCCCTCATACTTCCATTAAAAAAATTATCTGGTGCGTCCAGAGCGTGACGATGTCGAGACCAGTTGGTCGACGGAGCGCCTGGCCCCTGGCGCCTGGCTGCTGCTTGTTCCCATTGCTTGCACCACATGGCTTTTAGTAAAAAACAAAAACAAAAAACAAACAGCCGCAATCGACGGTATTTTCCGACGTGTGTGCGCCTCAACCAGAGAGTGTACATTTTGCGATATGCACAAGTTGCAAGTTGGAGACGCCTGTCTAGGTCCTCTCTTTCACCCATGAGCGATCCGAGCTGCTTGATCTTTTTCCATGCGTCTTTGTTGCATGAAATGTGCACCCACTCAGTTTTTGACGGATTGACCTTCAGTGACCAATCTTGGAGGGTATTGGTGATCACTGGGAGGGATTGTTCTAGCCATCGCTTTGATGTACTGTAAAAGTTGACGTCTTCGCGAAAATGATCACCTAAATGTATCACCTGGTTGTAACGGTTACCTTCCTTGTGATGCAATTACATGTAGTTCCTATGTTTCATTGGTTCTGGTTGCTTGCATTTCATTTGAAGATAATGCCCGAAAACTGGTCCACGAATTTCGTAGTTGTTGTTGTGGGCCATCCACTGCAGAGCAACGCCGCCTATGGCGAGAGCGTAGAGGTCACTAAGTAACTAGAGTCTGATGCTGCACTTTGTCGAAGGCTTTCGACATGTCTACAAAAGCGACTCCAGTGTAGAGGCGTGCCACTTTTGCCTGTTTAATTTGCTCTACCGTTAACACTAGGGCATCAGAGGTGGAGTGGTGGCTACGAAAACCAAATTGTTCCATTGGTAGCAGATTTCGGCTCTCCAGAAAATCAGACAGTTGCTCATGAACAATCCGTTCAAGGATCTTGGAGACCACATGGAGTAGGGAAACTGGTCTATACGTCTTAGGTTGGCTGGGGTCACAGGATTTGAACAGTGGGCGGATGCATGCCACTTTCATTGATTCTGGGTATTTCCCCTCCCTCAGTGAACTGTTGAACAGCAAAGTCAGCGATGGGGCCAGGATATCCCCACACAAACGGAGAAGGACAGTTGGTATACCATCGCTTCCAGTTGCTTTAGTTGACTGATTGCAGCAGCTTTCTGACCTTGGCTATAGATACTGGCTGAAACGAGAATGTGAACCCACCGCTCAGCGAGTCGGATTTCAGTTGCAAGCACTGTACATGTACGGCATTGTAGAAACTAGTACTACATGTAGTAACTAAAACTGGTAACTACAATCAAACAAGGCCGGTCCAGGAAGCTCGAGGTAGAGTGCTCAATGTACGAATGTACAGAGCAGTATACACACACAACAGAGGCGAAAGGCTGTGTTAGCTGTAGGGGTGAAACAATTATACCGAATACTCGAGTACTCGCTCGGTTTTTTCAGAAATAATCGTACTCGGAATAAATCAGAGTACTCGGTCATACGGTACATGCATTTACCACAGAAATCTGCAGTTTCAGAGCAGCAGTCGGCAGATATTGATGTGCAGACTGTGTGGTGAACATTTGTTCACGAGTAGAGAGCCCAAATGTCCCAGCAACCAATATACCAGAGAAAAAAGACTGCCACTCGGTTCAATCAGGGTTGTATCATGTGATTTTAAGGCGCACGGTGTGCAATTTTTAGGAGATGAAGAATCCTCGAATACTCGAATATTCGATCGGAGAAAATCAGAGTACTCGAACTCGGGATCTCAATGCCAACTTTCACCCCTAGTTAGCTGTAACTCAAAGTTTCACGCATCGGAGCGATCATCAGACACCAGCATTCACTATCGAATTCTCTACGAGCAGGCCTAGATATTTGATGCTAGTGTGGACGTTAGTGCATATGTGCGAAGTGAAGACGTCATATTCGCCAACGTGGAACGAGTCGAGTACATGGAAGAGAGGAAGGAGGAGACAGGACGAAGAAAGAAAAATAGGCGGCGCAACATCGCTTGGTACAACCCACCCTTTAGCAAGAACGTGGCCACAGACATCGCACACAAATTCCTCCGACTCCTCGACACACACTTCCCTCACGGCTGCCGATTGCGTCAGATATTTAACCGCAACACCGTCAAAGTTAGCTATTTATGTACATGTATGCCGAATATGTCCGCAATAGTCAAATCCCACAACAACCATGTTCAAAGGAAGAGACAAACACAAGACAAGAACGTCCCCGACAAACGATGCAACTGCCGAGTCAAAAGCACCTGCCCAATGGACAGCGACTGCCAAGTACGATGCATCGTGTACAAGGCAACAGTCCAGCACACCGGAAGAGAGCAGCGGCACGAGTACCTGTCGCTATCGCCTTTGATGACTCGGTAACACTGCCCTGCTATTGCCACTATTCTCACCTATATCCGGTAAAATTAACTCTCACAAAACAATTCAATACCATTGTCCCAATGCCACGTCTTCACTTTGCACATATGCACTAACTTCCACACTAGCATCAAATATCTAGGCCTGCTCGTAGAGAATTCGATAGTGAATGCTGCTGTCTGGTGATCGCTCCGATGCGTAAAACTTTAAGTTACAGCTAACACAGCCTTTCGCATCTGTTGTGTGTGTAACTAAAATCATGTACATTGTACTACTACACCTACTAGTATACATCATGTACATGTCCTATAGTGCTGACAACTGAAATCCGACCCCCCTAGCGTCTCGTACATCGTACGAATCGCTAACGCGGCTAGCGCACCGCTAGGGGGTCGGATTTCAGTTCCCAGCACTGTAGTATACAATGTCATGTACATCATGTAGATGACATTGTACTACTACTACTGTACTAGTATGTAGTGGTTATGTCAGTTCGTTGATTGGGTTACACGTACATGTACATGATTGTATTGTAGCTGATCGGCGGGCAGGCGCATTGCGTGTGCGAAGCTGCATTTCCTGGACTGTGCATGTGGCAGACCTACTGGCCGGCTTCAGA